ACTCTAGATTGCACCGACAGTTACTTTCATGCTACTTGGACCTGCCAACCAGTTCATTCCCTCTGGATAGCAGTGACAGAGAGACTCTCCACCATCTTGGGCTGTAGAATCCCTCCTTCTCCATCACTTTGCTTACTAGGTAATATCATGGAAATCGATCACCTACCAATTAAATATAAAAACCCACTCCTCATTTCTCTAGCTATTGCCAAGAAAACAATCTTTCAAAATAAAAAAATAAAAATAAAAATCACTGCACATAAACCACTGGACCAACCTTCTGACAGAATACATCACATTAGAGAAAATGACATCCACTCACAAAAATAGTTTATCTGCTTTTTATGACACATGGAACCCATTTCTAACACATTTCAACTTGAATCAAACACCTGGGGCTGAGGCTACACACATTCCCACCAACCTCTAGAAATGTAACAAGATGATTTTATTATTAGTACTGTTATCATCATCATTATTGGTAAAATTTTATTTATTTTTCTTCCCCTCCTTTTCCTTCTTGCATTTCATAGACTGCATAAGTTGGAAATACCCACACTTCACACACTACAACCTCATTAAACACTAAATCCTTCTGTAATGTCATGTAACTGTTGTCTTATCTCCCATGTTCGGTACCGTTTTGTTAATGTGTTACTTTGTTTCAAAAAAAAAAAAAAAAAAATCTACTTTATATTTCACTTGTATTGTGAGGCATTCATGTGGATGACAAAAAATTTCATTGGTTTCCTAACTGTGCATATGACAAATAAACAATTTGACCTTTGACCTTGACGTGAAGGCTGGCGGTGGGAGATTGGTTGGGAGATTTTCCAGCAAGACAAAAACCTCAAATATGAAGCCAAAGCTACACAGCAGTGTTTTCCAGTCCTGGCTAAATCAGAGTCCACAACTGAATCCAATAGTTTGTGTCAGGGTTTTAAATTTGCTGCTCGCACATCCACGTGGAACTTTCCCAACACTTAATAAAAGCCGTGGTGCCCAGATGTGCAAAGCTGATACAAGCAGATTCAAGGTAACCGCTGCTCAAGGTGATAAACTGAATTTAGGCAGCGGTCTACGCTTACTGCACTTCATTTACACGCACTTTCATTTACGTGTGGCTTTCACGCTGACACAGGACTGATAAAGCGTCATCAAATCAATGTGTAAAATAATAAACCCAAGTCCAAGGAGTTTATTTGTATACACACACCGACCCACGCTCGGGTGGTAACTGAGCGGAATGAAAAATATTTAAGTTACACATTTCCAGTGTTTCAGAGCAGGTTCTTATGAAACCAAATAGTTAATGTACAGCCTCCAAGTCGCACTTTAACTTTTACCAACGTGACTCAAGGTCACGGATGTTACCGCTAAACCAAGATGAAGCGCCGTTACTGTACTTTCCATAAAACTATAAGTATCAGAAATACACTAAACCCTGCGTTTGACCAACCTACCGATGCGTCTTCTCTTGTCTAGTAAATCGGACGTGGCATCGCCGGGCGGTGTTGACTCTGCAGCCCGTTACCACCGCGGACCGAACGCGGGTGAAGGAACGCGCCCACACATCCGAGGTCCACGCTCCGCTGCGACCGGACCGTCCCAAACCGGTCCATTCACAAGGAAGTGGGGAAAACAGGATGTGAGGTCATTACAGGACGGTGTTTGGGCTGAATTTCTGCACACTGCAACAAGTGGGAGAAACGCAGGGCAGCGAGCAGTGAGCCTGCAGCACCCCTGGTCTGCCTGTGGCCGCCACTGTCCGAGCCGTAGTAGATATTTAAGGGTTTAGCTGTGAAACAGGCCAGCAGTAGAGACCAGTGGTCTGCAACCTGGCTGAGACTTCAACGATGCCTGGAATAATCTCACAGATGTTAGAACAAAAACACAAAATACAGCTGTGTGTGTTTTAAAACAAGTTTATCTTCATGTAATAAAAAAAAAAAAATTACACTGACAACTTTATCAACTCTGCACATAAAGCTACAAAGTGTGAAAACAAGCTTTGTTCGTTTATTTTTATGGAGTTAGAAAATGAATTCACATGTACAATGACAACAGTCAACCAGCCAACATCAGATGGTGCTGAGCCCAGACATGGTTTCAGATTATTATTTTAAATATAATAACCAAAGTATTATATATGGTGGGTGCTTAAAGACAAGCTAGCCTTTACTTTCCACTCCTTTGTCCTCCTTAAATATAGTTACTGAAAACCAAATAAACAAATAGAGTTGATTCATAAAAGTATTCATTCCCAATAAGCTTGGGG